CAAACTTCCATCCGTGCCCCCCTTATTCTATTGGTATTCATTGTAAACCTTTCCTATTTTTTCACTGTCAGTCCCCCTGTCACTCCCCCTAAGTATTTTATACTTCTGTATCATGTCCCCTCTTCAACTCTACCTTCTTTCTAGCGTCGTCAGATTTAGTTTCTTCAGTATCTTTTTCTGCCTCGTCCCTCGCAACTCTGGGAAGATTCTCGTTGCAAACATCTGCACCCTTTCAAGCTTTTTTTTTTTATATATGTGGGTTCCACGATGGGACTGCGTACTCTAAAACTGGCCTCAAATAAGCAGTGTACAGTGATCTAAAAGTTTTTATTTAAGTTCCCGAAGGATGTTCAGATTTGGTAGCGTAGAGTACGCAGCTGACGCTATTGTGTTTATGAGCTTTTGGAGTTAGGTTTGGTGTTATGTCCACTCTTAGGTATTTTTATCTTGTTATAGGGAGGTAGTTTTCCTTCATTATGTATTGACCTCTGTCTCCTGATCTCATTTCCATCACCTTACACTTGCTGGTGTTGAACTCTAGCAGGTATTTCTTGAACCACCTCTGCAGCTTGTTCAAGTCTTCTTAGAAAATCTTACTATCCTCGTCTGTCTCAACCTTCTTCATTAGTTTCTCGTAGTCTTTAAACATTGACACATTAGACTCGACTCCTGCAGTATTCCTTCATTTACATAAGTGAGGGATAGTATGGGTCCCAACACCATTCCCTGAGGAACCCCTTCTTGTTACTCTACGCCAGTCTGATTTCTCGCCCCCTCACCGTCACACTCTGAATCTGTTAGGTAATACCCATGTTAGTGTACTTCAGCTTACTCCCGCCTGCCTATATAGTTTGTATAGTAACCTGTCTGGTATTGTCAAGCTAGCAGTGGCAGCTAGCCACTGTATTCTGGACTGTGGCAGTCCAGAATACATAATCTGCCCAGTCTTCTGTCTTGCCTTATTTTCATTACCTTGTACAACTTTAGGAGGTTTGTCAGGCATGATTTCCCTTGCCTAAGGTCGTGTTGTTGTTTTCTTGCAAATCTAATTCTTTCTAGGTGTGCAAGTAGTCTTAACTACTACTACTACTTATAATTTTTAATGCACTTTGCAAGGGATGCTTGTGTGTGACACTGGACTGTAGTTATGTTTCTTCTTTATCTCCTTGTCGATTGGCACTATATTTGCCTCGTCAATCTCTCCATTAAATAAGTGTACATATGACTAGAAGTTTAGCTCTGTGTGCATGCTCTATCATCATCATACTACTGCCTTTGTTTTCTGTTCGCTGGGAGGTTGTAAATTATCACGACCACTATTTTATTTTCCCATTTGCTTTGTGTGTGCCAAGGATGGAGCATGTATGCATTTTCATTCTGATTTACTACATAGTCTCCCCGGCTTGGTACCTTTTGAGAATTAATTAATTGTTTAGATCCGAAGCCTATGTTTATGGGCAGCTCAAAACATCTATCAGACTGCGAGACAGTGGTTGCCAGGATCAGGTTGGTTACCGTTACCAGTGGGAGGTGACGGATCTCCCAGCCCCGAACACTCCAGGTGCAAGCAAGCTGGGAGCAGGAACTGGGTCATGATCTCACACACTACATCACTGAATGCCCAGTTATTAGACCCTTCAAACCTCCCGACATGAGGTACCTGTAGCTTTGTAATCACTATTAACTCACGTGTTCTTGAGGATATCCACATAATGCACCCAACATTTGCAAGTACAGGCTACTGATTACATAGCCCGTTCTCGACACTACTCTTCTTCATACGGTCTAGGATAGCTGTATGCACACCGTGCAGATGTTCCTAAATGTGTTAATACAAAAATTGGGACGTGGTAATAGTCGTAACACCAAGGTTATTCTTGAGATTATCTTTAGATGATTTCGGGGCTTAGCGTCCCCGCGGCCCGGTCCTCGACCAGGCCTCCTTTTTTGTTATCCCAGGAAGCAGCCCGTAGCAGCTGTCTAACTCTCAAGTACCTATTTACTGCTAGGTGAACAGGGTCATCATGGGGAAAAAAACTGCCCATTTGTTTCCGCCTCCACCGGGGATCCAACCCAGAACCTCGGGACTACGAATACCGAGCGCTGTCCACTCAGCTGCCAGCCCGTCTTTGGGGCTGACTCTTTGTTTCCCGTACTCACCTAATTGTGCTTGCGGGGGTTGAGCTTTGGCTCTTTGGTCCCGCCTCTCAACTGTCAATGAACTGGTGTACAGATTCCTGAGCCTTCTGGGCTGGGCCGTGATATATTAATTTGTGTAATCTGAGTAGTTAAGGGGAGGGTGAGTTGGATACAGTTCAGGTTCAACCGTGGTCTTCAAATACCCCTGAGACTGCAACTGCTAATTTCCAGTTGAATTCCTGACTTTCAGCGAAATCCATCACGAGTGTTATTTTCGTGGTGAGAGTAAGTCATAATAACATGGCTGAAAATTTGACGCATCTTATTCTATAAGTAAACCTTATTCCTATTCTTCAACCTTCTCGCCTTCCACCTCACATCTTCACCTTAAGTTTTTAAATAATTTTGTCGGAGACAGGCAGCCTGCGTATGTGTATACTGATATATACTGTTATCGAGGTCCCCCTAAGGTCGAACTACTGACCCTCCCCAGGATGCAACACCGCAACAGGTGTGGTGTGGTCAACACAATTCTCGGGTACCTATTTACTGCTAGGTGAAAGCAAATGTGCCCAACCGTTTCTGTCCCACCCGGGATTCCCATTTGAGAGTCGAGAACGAACCCAACTGTACGACAAAGCCCACTTTACTACTATTTGTCCACACTTGATCCTCATAATGTACGATCCCCAAACGTCGTCACTTCCTTTATTTTCATAAAGGACTAGGAAAGTGGGTTGTGTGTGCTATCTCTGTGAATTGGTCAGGGCTATTGGTGTCCGATGTTGCACCGTTATATCTGCTAGCACAGGAGATGATATAGTAAGCTGTGTGTGTGTGTGTGTGCAGAGGGTGCCCCTGCGAGAAGGACCAGATTCCAGGAGACTGGGCAAGGTGCGACACAGGTCAAACGACATAGGGAGGTTTTATGGTTCCTCCTCTCCCCCCCCTCCCCATGGTACAGCCTCCCTCTCCCCGCCATAAAGATGCTCACTATACCAATACACAGGAAACTAACCTGACAATTTTTTTAACATGATTCCTTACAAATTCCTATTGTGGGTGTTTACGGCTGGTAATTTTGAAAAAAAATAGCTTTCGACTAATATCTCTTTATCGTGGCAAATTTTTAATTCTGTATACAAAGTTTATGGAGCCGCTGTACTCGTGCGAGGCGCATGCGCCGTGACCTTAGTGACACCTCCGGCTGTGTCAAGGACCGAGGGAGATGAAGAGCCATTAAGCCTCCAGTATGTTGTCATATATTGTTGAAGGCGGCGAGGCTGGAGCATCCCGGCCACCCTGTAGCGCCCCTGCCGGTTAATTACGGCCGGCGGGGCTGGTAGTACTACCCCGGGCCGCGCAGCCTCATCCGCACCGCCGCCACTCAAGCACATTCCCCTCTGCTTCGCTCACTCCCTGGCTTTTGAAGCATTATTCTTACTTTTTATTTCACTTGTTTTCGCACTGTGTAATATTTTCTAACGCCCGTGACTATTATATATGGATTAGTAATGTTATAAGTAGCTACTAAGGTTTTGGTGAGCAAATTGGATATGTGGTTAGCACCTGTGTAATCCGTAATTAACACAAAGTTATCTTGTTGCAACCAGAGTACTCGCAGTTTTTTTCTGGCAAAACTTTCGCCTGAGTTGTGTTCAGTAAGTGGTTACCATTATCTGCTGGGCCAATAGCGACCTTTTTATTGCGTGGTATCCTGTCATTGAAACTGGAAAAAGTAGTTTTGCTAATATACAGATTTTTTTTCCCCTCCAGATTCACTTTTTTTTCTTCACTAGGGAAGAGGTACGTTGCGTCCTGACTGACACAGCGCGATATATAACAACATTACCATCTTTGTGCCCAAAAAAACCTGGCTTGTCAAGGGTACGATGACTCGCTAATCAGTTTATTTATCCACGTTTATAGTTTCGAAAGAAAAATGAATACAGAGGTATTCCAAATTTACGTGCGTATCCATCGATAGAAGATAATTTACAGTGCGTAAGTCGCCTTCAGGTAAATACATTCAATTGTGCACGCCGCCAAGCTTCAATCCTGGGACTTTATTATTGATATATACAAATTTGAACTACTAATAATGTCAGTTAAACGTAATTAATACATAGCGCGTTATTAACGCAACGGAAGATTGCGAAACTGAAATAAGACTTCAATAAGCTTCAAGTATGTAATGAAAATTGGCAAATGCAGTTCATTGTTGGCAAGTAGTAAACGTCTTATTGTAAGTATTGGTGAGCATTGCGATACGGACTTGGGAGTAATGAAAGACCTAGATCTAGCAGAGGTATAATGTATGAACAAGGTAAATAACTTGTTTTAGATTCAGCTACTCTGAACAAAAAGTGCCAAGCAGCACGGGCTATGGTGAGCCCGTCGTACTCACTGGAGATGTGCGGGACAATAACAGATTTTGCTCTATATCTAGAAGCGTTAACGTAAGCAGTGTTATCTTGTTTCCGAACCCCTCTGCGTATTGGTATATATGGCTTTAGGCGGCGTATCTTCCTACCCAACATTCTGCTTATATTACAATGTATATGTACTTTTGCATAAATAACATGTTAACGTTTATACTAGTGCAACCTCACTAAATTTATAATGCGCATTTTGTTCACCGTACTCCATAGACATTATTTCTCCTTAAGAACATGTACAGAAAAATAACGAAAGTTAATCCCCCACCAACAGGAATCTTCTTTTCATAGTTAGATTAAAACAATTTCGCCTCTCAAAAGAAGTCAATGGGAAAATATGAATAAAGAATAGCAAATATTGACTTTAGCTGAGTGGCAAATGGTTAGCATTATGGGTAAGTGGCAATGAGCATACGTGGGTCATTAGGAGTGACGGTATTGGTTGTTAGGGCGTTCCTGGCACGTCCAGGGGCCAGGTGATCCACGGAGAACCTGTTTGGTGTTGAAGTTACCACAGTTGGGTGTGGTCGTCGCTGGCTTTATGTTGAAGTTACCACAGTTGGGTGTGGTGGTCGCTGGCTTTAGGTTGAAGTTACCACAGTTGGGTGTGGTGGTCGCTGGCTTTATGTTGAAGTTACCACAGTTGGGTGTGGTGGTCGCTGGCTTTAGGTTGAAGTTACCACAGTTGGGTGTGGTGGTCGCTGGCTTTAGGTTGAAGTTACCACAGTTGGGTGTGGTGGTCGCTGGCTTTATGTTGAAGTTACCACAGTTGGGTGTGGTGGTCGCTGGCTTTATGTTGAAGTTACCACAGTTGGGTGTGGTGGTCGCTGGCTTCATGTTGAAGTTACCACAGTTGGGTGTGGTGGTCGCTGGCTTTATGTTGAAGTTACCACAGTTGGGTGTGGTGGTCGCTGGCTTCATGTTGAAGTTACCACAGTTAGGTGTGGTGGTCGCTGGCTTCATGTTGAAGTTACCACAGTTGGGTGTGGTGGTCGCTGGCTTCATGTTGAAGTTACCACAGTTGGGTGTGGTGGTCGCTGGCTTCATGTTGAAGTTACCACAGTTGGGTGTGGTGGTCGCTGGCTTCATGTTGAAGTTACCACAGTTGGGTGTGGTGGTCGCTGGCTTTATGTTGAAGTTACCACAGTTGGGTGTGGTGGTCGCTGGCTTTATGTTGAAGTTACCACAGTTGGGTGTGGTGGTCGCTGGCTTTATGTTGAAGTTACCACAGTTGGGTGTGGTGGCCGCTGGCTTTAGGTTGAAGTTACCACAGTTGGGTGTGGTGGTCGCTGGCTTTAGGTTGAAGTTACCACAGTTGAGTGCGGTGTTTGGGTTTGACAAATGTCTTGACAATGGGGTAAGGGGAGGACATCTGTCTTAATGGTGGTTGATGGACGATCAGAAGACGAAGGTATTGTCACGAAATTAAATTTCAGTTCAGTTATGCCACTAAGGCATAACACCATTTATCGTTTATTTCTAACGTATAGATAGTTCGACAAAAAAAAAAATCACAATATAATTACATCTCTACTCCATTCTCTTTGATGTAACCCCTCTTCACGTAAGAGGCTGTAACACCTCTGCGTGTGGGATATTGTAACTCCTCATTGTGTTAAAGGCTGCAATACTTCTTTATCTGAGATACTGTATCTCCTCGTTGTGTAAAAGAGGCTGTAACCTCACTATTTTAGTGATGCACCCCCCTTCGTTGTGAAGTGGATTACTTCTCGTTGTGTAAGCCATTATAATCCCACGTTCTGCAAGAGATTTAACCTTTCAGTGTACAAGTTCAAGTTCAAGTATGTTTATTGAGATAAGCAATAAATACATCTCAAAGGGATAGAGTAGCTTAGGCTATTTATACCCCACAAGTGTCGGGGGTAGTGTAGCTGTGTCTGTAATCAGATTTTCTTCGGATGTTTTGTTATTTCTGAAAACTAAGAGATCACTAGGGTAAGCAAGGACACTGAATCTTTTCGCCTTCACTCATGTCTGAGGCGAGAACGGAATCGAGGTTACTGAATGACCATAGGAACAATGGTGGCAGCGATTATGACCGCCCCGATAATGGCCGTAGGGATAATTGTTCCTGGGGGATAATGGAAAGAAAGGTAATTACGCTTCTCAATTTGTCTGTCACCTCAACTCAAACACTGATGAATCCAGGAAGACCAAATTGGTTTTGAGGTCTTACGATAACTTTCCTTAATGATAATTTACCACATAGTTTCGTTTGAAATTCTTACGAATAATACAATTTGTTAGGGTGAACGTTTCAATTGAATGGTAAATATGTAATTATTATTGCTATTATGTATAATTATTATTTACCCCCCGAGAGTGGAAATTGAACTTTTTGATGAAACTGAATTACACAATAAGAAACAGTATGACTGAACAAGCCATACTGTTGGTCACCCAACAGTCAAGGTTACCCTGGCACCAAATTGAAATGAAGTGACCTGGATAAGTGTCTAGGACACTAGAGGTGTTCAATTTTACTAATAAATGTATTAGAGAATATGAATTAGATTGGCTAGAAAGTCTCGTAAAATAATGAAAAAAATACTTGACTATAATTGCTAAGGATAATAATACCTAATGTACTCTAAAATTAGATTATATTAAAAAATATACACAAATCTCATATCTAACACCGTCCAAGAAAGTCACTGTTCCAATACACTAACAATAAGTGATATCATTGCACTATAGTGCTTCAATTTGAGTTGAATTTTGATCTGTTGTATACCTCTTACCAAGAGGTTAGAATTCCAGGAAATGTAGTGCTTGTAGTGTGGACATTGACTTCTCTCTGGTCTCGACCCACATTACAATCTACTGCCTAACTATTTTATTCACTTTCCAGGGCTCTCCAATTATACATTCAGTTCACATAATGTGCACAAGTCGTTCTGTCAGTCACGAGTGTTCACATAATAATTTACAACGTTGGCAAAAAAAAAAAATCTAAGATAAATAGCAGACGTCCAGATCCCAGAATTGTTTTCATGTTGGATTTAATTAAGGTCTATTAACCGTTAGGGCCATTAGGCTACAACTAGCTTACTGACAACCAGTAAGTATACTTTGGTCTTCAACAAAGTTATGGCTACAATAAACTACATAAATGTTGTGACCATAGATTAGTTTCGTGTTAGACTGAGGGCTTTTTAATCCTCCAGTCTCGAGTTATCAATCAAGGCTGTGACTGTAGCCTACTAACAATTCTGCAATTTAATTTTAAGATTATTATTTATTTTAACTTATTTTTCATTGTTCTTTAAATCTGAATTATTTCTTCAATAGTTAAATAAAATGTTATCAATAAAACTGATTCTAAGTTTATATAGATAAACCAGTGGGCTTGGTTATATTTTGTTTGAAATTTGGTTCCACATATCCCAAAAGGGAGGGATATAATATATTTATATAATAGTGGGATATTAAGGGAGCCGGTCGGCCGAGCGGACAGCACACTGAACGTGTGATCCTGTGGTCCCGGGTTCGATCCCGGGCGCCGGCGAGAAACAATGGGCAGAGTTTCTTTCACCCTATGCCCCTGTTACCTAGCAGTAAAATAGGTACCTGCGTGTTAGTCAGTTGTCACGGGCTGCTTCCTGGGGGTGGAGGCCTGGTCGAGGACCGGGCCGCGGGGACACTAAAAAGCCCCGAAATCATCTCAAGATAATGATTGTAACCATGATATATATGTGCTCCAGCTTACAGTTTAGACCTATTGTCTTATGTATGACCCTCTGTCCTGCGTGACAGTGAATACTAGCATTATCCTCAATTTAATAAGACAATCAAAATCCTCAGATTAGGCAAAATTGTAATTAATTTTGTCAATAAAGATGTTAATAATAATAATAATAACCTCAAGATCCCGAGACGTCACCTCAAAGGAGTGGTTCTGGAAGCCGTATCTTGTGCGGGGTAGAACACTCTGGCCAACACACACTTTACCCGCCTGTGTGTACCCGAACACTAACCTTTTGTTTCAGGGCCACAATCTGGGCCGGCCTCGAGTCTTTGACTGGTGGATGTGTTTATTTGCTTGATTTTCTATACGTGAAGATGCCCCGCTGTCTGGCAGCATGCGAGCTCTGTCATTTCTGTCAAGCAACGTGTGAGTACCCTAGTCTAATGGTGTACATATATATTTTGTCATCGTTAGGTAAGGCAGTAAATTTTTGTATTATCACGCTTAGTTTGTTTTTTCATTATTAATGTAATGTAAACCGTATTAAATGAGAAAATAATCACCGCGGTACTACCTTACCTGAGGACGAGTAAGGTAGTACATTTGTGCATTTTCTCTGCGTTTTATCATTATTAATGCAATTCCAGTATAGGTTTGGTTACCTGACCTTATTTTGCATTATATCAATAACGCAAAAACGCAGAGAGAGAGAATGCAACATCTCGTCTCATGCACTACCTTACCCATCCACAGGTAAGGTTAGTGCATTCGTACGGTACGCGCGGGTCATTTTCCCACTTATTGCATTATATTAATGCAAAAACGATCTAACTGACTGCGAAAATGTACTACCTTACCAGAGGACAGGTAGCCTGCAGAAGTACTCCAAATTAATGCGGTACATGTTAATTTTCTGTTTTCAGTTTTTTATTTATTTTTTTATTAACACATTTAGGTACATCTGTGGCAAACTCCGGGTGCATTATGAGGATATCATGAACATAAGAATGAATAAGGTAGCAGTGATACTGAAAGTCCCAATCTCGCATGATACTCCGGTCTCATGGGTTTGGGTGGATATGAATTTGATCTGCTTCGTATGGGTCAATAGGCCCGCCTATTCAGTTTCTGTAATTCTTATGTACCATTGTATTTTCCCTTTGGGGGGGATACCCTATGGTACATGATTACTTTAGTCCGCCTCCTAGCACTTTGGGAAGGGATCACAAGGTCTCTAGATTTGTCGCCTTTCAGTACAACACAAACATCTGTGCATTTTGACCTTGGTGTGTCGACGTCTGGTCAACAGTTTCACTTGCACTATCATGGTCAGCGATGTCTGTGACTTGGTGTCAGTTCATTATCACCCGTCGACCATGGTTTAGCATGTTTAGAAGTCTTTGTAGGATTAACGATTTTGTTGTCAAGTGGCTGTCGATGTTTCAATGCTTCTATGGTGGTGTGCGAGGCTGTGTGGATGACCGGATACCGAATTGGGGAATGAAGGTCAATAGAAGCATGAATTTTATTCAAATGTAAAACTACAAGGCTTTGGTTTTAAATTGAGCTGAGATTAGTCTAACTTTTGAATTGTAGGAGTTGCTGAAGGTACAGGTGCATTTTAAATTAAATCAATCTCGTTAATTTGAACGTTGTAATTCAGTATTAACATATTAGTTTAGAGCCATAACTACTGTAAAAACTTGTTGAGTGTTAATGGTGGACGAAATTGGCCGACGATAAACACACTAAATACAGAGTAGAAAATATTTGTATTAAAATTCCAGGTTAGTCATGTTTAATTATGAACCGGTCTGAGTATGATAATTATAAACAATTATGTTAAATAGTTTGAAAGTAAGTCTGTTTCTTTTCCCCTGAAGGGTTGTATGTAAAACTGTGTTATAACATAATAATGTAGCCACCAGGAGAACTGTACACAGAGGGAACGCAACCATCCCCCTAAAGTGATAACACTTATAGCAACTACTTGATCAAATTCAAAGTCTGCCTTTCAAGTACTTTAAAACTTCTCCTGCAAGACACGCATCAAAAACCCCATAGTAGTAATTATAAATAACTTGTTCGACGCATAGAAAAAATGGTTTAGAATATATTTTCTGTGGATTCCATCTCATATAAATGTAAATCATGATGACATAGACACTGCTGCAATATTAGCATGCAACCAGCATGAAGCTGAAATAGACTAGGTATCCCCTTTGTTATTAAAACAATATTGCTCCAATCATTTAGGTCTAATAAGAAATCACAGACTCTCAAAGATCTGAAAGCACCAGTGTAAAAAGTTAGGTTTCAGATATAAATAAATCATATATATATATGAGTAACACAGAACGTTCACCAGTCGGTACGACTT